ATATATATATATATAAAGAGGAATCTACTTACCCCAAGAAAAAAGCTTATCTAAACTTACTCCACTCACTATAAAATAATCAAAAATTGGTTTTAGTTCCTAAAAAATATTTTTCTTTAATTTTCATTCTTCTAAAATCTAAAACTTTTATTTTTGGTTCCTAGTGATTATTTTAATGTATATAAATAATATTTAGTTTAAAGATCTATAAAAAAAAATTAGAAGTAATATTTTAACAGAATATCACAAACAATTGTAAATATCACTTAGGATAGTCATTTAACTTTCTATTAAACAAACAAATTGTAAAATAGAATCACATAATAGTAGGAATTAAAAACAAAGTTTTAAATTTTAGTAGGAAGAAAAACAAAAACAAAATTATAGAAACCAAAATAAGAACTTACACATTTCATGAAAACTAAAATCATACTCAAGCCTAAGTATATTAATATTATTATGGTTTATTGTAATCAATTAATGAATTTTTAGCACAAATTAATTATTTAAATCATTTGAATTAATTTTTTGCTCGATTGATTAATATTTCAATATTTATTTACACAAATTATTACAAGATTAATTTGTTTTATACAAATATTTTCAGTGATAAATACTAAATAAATTTATAACTACACTATCTTTAACATATTTCATTTTAATTAGTTATTTTGTTAATTTTAATCAATTAAATACTTTTTAAGTTAATCTTTTGTTGGATTTATTAGGACTTCTTTGCATCAATTATTTGTATAACAACATTTAATTAAAATGTTGTCAAATGTTTATATACAACATTTTAATTATATAAATCTAACAAATGTAAATAATTATGTACCAAAAAAATCTAACAAGAGATTAACTCCAATAATTTAATTTATTTATAAAAAATAAAAGCTAAATTAGTTAGTATAAAATATGTTAACATTAGCGTTCGGTGCTTACTCTAGTACACATCAAAATAAAAGTATATTTATGAAACAAATTCAAAGTTCCTCTCAAATGTAAATGACCCCAGGCATGACTTTTTTATTCATACACATACAATCATTTGTATGACATTTTTTTAATGTTTATCCCTCCATTAATAAACAAAAAATATTGCGATGAAGAAAAATAGATACAAAATAACATTGTACAAAATTGATGTCCAAGTATCACTTCTCATTGGCCAACAAGTTTATTTGAAATATAGTGTAAAGAAGGGCCCAATCCTTGACCCATATACTGTTGACAAAAACATTGCCATTTTGCAATGAAGCCCGTTAGCTCCTCTTCTAAAGTATCTTTAATCCTTATACCAGCTCATACTCTATATATAACTAGTGTAAAAAACACACCGTGTCTCGTGTATTTTTAAAAATAAAATAAATGATAAAAATAATTAAAGTTAAATATGTGTGTATGATTTACAATTAGAATGTGTGAACAATTTCGAGTAATTTAGAGAGATACGAGAAATTTGAAAAATAAATATACGGAAAAATAGAAGAAAAATAAAACTAAATAAAAAATATGGGAAAGAAAGAGTTTTGGAAGCCAAGAAACAAAACAGTTAACAGAATGTGTACACACAAAAAAAAAAATGTATCACCTATATTAATAGTATTGATATAATTATCATGGGAAAGAAAAACAAGTTGACCAAAATCAAGCAGAACTTCTGTTTTGCTTATGTAACAACACTAGAAAGCATATATATTTACCCAAATTTGATGAGCATACTCTGGCTCTGGCAAAATTGATGTTGTCGTCCAGGTATCAACCATTGATGGTTGACTTATAATGATCAGCTATAGCTTCATAAATGACACCTTCTTCAATAAGACTTTTAATAGCCACCCTGCAGATTCAGAATCAGAGTCAACAAAAAAATTTAAATAACGTGAGAAAGAGAAAGAGCGAAGAGAGAAGAGAGGGACATGAGCTTATCCAAAGAAATTCCCAGATTCTGTGCTATAAGATCACGAGGGACTCCCTCAATTCTTGCCCTGAAATATCAATATCAGACAGTTAAGTTGCGAATACCAAACAATATTCATCACATGCATTAAAAAACAAGTGCAAACTTTATTGTAACTAACTAAGCTAGTGTGATGGTTTTTTACAATGGTATAATTGTACTAACCTTGGAATGTGTAATAAAGTTAAATGTTAAATATTAGTCAATTCAGTTTTTAATTATGAGAAAATACGCCGTTGCAAATTGTACCGGAAGGTCCCTATCAGTCACGTTGACCAACACGTCACTATCCTCACTTTCTCTTTTCTTTAATATAAGTGAATAAATTGAGAATTTTGATTAAATTTAACTATCATTGAAGCCTTAATTTATTTTTGGTAAAACTTATAAAACTCAAATTTATTGTAAATTTAACACAAAAAACAAGTTATTATAAATTTTATTTAATTTATTAAGTTTGCCTTAAATTTAATTAAGAGTCGCCATAAACTTTTCTTCTCGAAAGTAAAAGCTCTTTTAATTTTTTTAAAAATATAAAATAATCAATTATTATTGAAATAAATTATAAATATATATATATATATACCTTAGTATGTTTTATGAGAAACATAACAATTTTAAGTTAGTAGGATTTTGTGATCTAAACTATGTCGGAGATAAAGTTGAAAGAAAGAACACATGTGGAGGATGTCACTTCTTGGGAAACTATCTCTCTTATTGGGAAACTATCTCATTTCTTGGGCAAGCAAGAAGAAAAACTCCATAGCCCTTTCAACAATAGAGGCATAATACATTTCAGCTATTGGGTGTTGCTCACAATTAATATGGGTCAAGTATCAATTAGAAGACTACTCGAGTCTTAAATCTAATATACCTATATTTTGTGATAACACTAGTGCTATAAATTTATCCAAAAATCCAATTCAACATTCTAAAGCTAAGCACATTGAAATACGATATCACTTCATTCGTGATTATGTTCAAAATGGCATTTTTGACAAAATTTATTTATATTAATCATCAATGGGCTGATATCTTTACAAAGGCTTTAGTCGAGGAGTGGTTTTGAAAATGGTAGCTTTGGATGATGATTTAGAGGGAGCAAGTTTGGACTAGTGGGTTTGGTGGTCAGTTAGAGCAATCTTCTTGGTAGATGGATCCTCTTCCATTGGTTCTTCCTTGATAGCCAAAGGGAGGCTCTTCATGAAAGGAAAAAGATAGATTATACCCATTTTTTTCAATAAGGTCATTAAGACTTCTCTTACATTAGGATTGACAAAGAAAGACAAAGTGTCAATCCCTGAGTGTTGGATGACTTGTGAAAAAAGCATACCATAGGGTATTGGGGGCTCTCTTGCTCCTTTCTTGGTCTCACTATGAGAGGCACGCCTTCTAATGCTTATAGATTAACCCAGGCAGATTGATCTTGCTCCTCAACATGAGATTATATAGGTAGAATTGATCCACATGGGATATGTTGTCTTTTGAGCTTGACCTTGGTAAGAAGGTGTTGAAAAGTATATTGTGGAACATCCTACTAAGTAGAGTCAAGTTTGCTTGGCGAAGGAATTTCTTTAGTGCATTCCTCTCCAACGGTCATGGACCATTTGAGTAGATGAGTACATTTTCTATGTCTTGGGTGATGGTTGCCTCCTAGTTACCCATGTAGCCTTTTTATTCATCCTTGCAACCTAAGACTATTATAATGGTTAGATGATTGATGTGGATAGTGGTTTGGTCTACTTGACTAGTGATGGAGTTTGGCTCTTGGATGGTAGATGCATAGAAAATGGGATAGGGAGCATGGTGTTAGTTGCACTTTATCTTAGCGAATGAGGTCCCAAGATAGGTTTTCACAAGGTAACCCTTATCTTGCATCTTCTAATATATTGGTTTACCTAATTTGTCTTTTGATGGACTTACAAATGAAGGCATGGGTGTGGGCATTGGCTTGCAGTCATTCATTCCAAATTTCAAAAGAAGTTCTCTAGTATATTTTTGTTGATGAATGAAAATGCCTTCATTTGTCTGCTTGATCTAAAGTCCCAAGAAGAACTTTAACTCACCCATCATGCTCATCTCAAATTTTGTCTACATTAGCTTGGAAAAATCCTTACAGAAATTCATTGGTAACACCAAAAATTATATCATCTACATATATTTGAACTACAATAAAATATGTTCCAAACTTTTTTTTTTAAAATTTCATGTCAACTTTACCTCTCACAAAACTATTGCTAAGTAAAAAGTTACTTAGTCTATCATGCCAAGCTCTAAGAGATTGTTCAGACCATAAAGAGCCTTTTTGAGTTTGAAAATGTGTTCTATAAAACTTGAATTTTCAAAACCTACAGGTTGTTTGACATATATTTCCTCCTCAATTATTTCATTTAGAATGACACTCTTTAAATCCATTTGGAAAAACTTTATGCTTTTGTGAGCTGTAAAAGCTAATATAATCCTAATAACTTTAAGTCTAGTAACATGAGTGAAGGTTTTAGTAAAATCAATACTTTTATAATAATTGTAGCCTTAAGCTACCAATCTAGCCTTATTCCTTACCATTTTACCTTGTTTGTTAACTTGTTTCTGAATACCCAACTAGTTCCAATTATGCTTTGGTGTTCAGGCTTTGGTACTAGGGTATAGACATCATTTCTTTCAAATTGATGAAGCTCATCCTTATAGACACCTAATTTTGTCCAAGATATATAAACAAGGAAATGGACTTTTAACATAAGAAGAAAAAGTTCCCAAAGGCCCGAAAACGATATTAGAGCAGACTAACATGACATCTAGTGGCCCAAAACACAAAGGAACAAAATTAGGAGCCCGGAATGTTCCAATTTCAAATTTGGTGTGTAACAAAATGGTCCAAAATGACCCATTCTGAATTCAGAATGGTCTGTTGTGGTGGATTTTTGTCCCTATAAATAGGAGGTTCGTACTTAGTGTTGAGGGACCGAAAATAGAGCAAAAAATTGCCTTACAAGAGTCTTAGATAACTCATAATTCTCTCTCTCCCTCCCTTTGTATTTCTTGAGATTTTGTGAGGTGATTTGTAGTGTGTAAGTCAACCAAAAAGTGCCTCAAATTACCATTGAAGGATTTTGATAAAGTTTGCTTCAAAGGTATTTTCATCAAATTCTTCCTTTCTTCTTTGTCGTTTTTATTCAAATTATATTGCCATAATAAAAAGCAACCATGTAGATAATAGTTATCTTCGTCCTGTAAATAATTAATAAAAGGGGTAAACATTTAAATTATTATTTATTATTATGCGAAATTCTCATAAGGTACCGAATTAGGGTGTTGTAGGGTGTCTAACACCTTCCTTACACGTAATCAACCCCCGAACCCAATTATGGCTATGAAGGCCATTATTGCAATTTTGAAAACCTTTTCCTTTTTCTAATGTTTTGAGTAAAACATTGGTGGTGACTCTTTTGAGCCATTTTTAAAACCATTAATTAAGGATTAGTCTGATTTTCGGGCATTCCTTGATTGATGATATTTTCAAAAGGAAGTTCAAACCATTTATGGGCAAGATCAAAATTTTTCGGGTTCTAACAATCCTCCATGGAAATGATCTAATTATTGTCTCCTAATGCTTCATCTATGTTCTTTGGGTCTTGAATAGTCATCTACAATGACAAGTCCATACTTTTTACCTCCTAGACTGAGTATCCTAGTTTGACCAAACAAATTCATATGTAAAAATTCTAGTGTTCTAAAAGTGGAAACAATTTTCTTGGCTTTGAAATATGTTTTATTTTGTTTCCATTTTTGACATACTTCGCATATAAGATGAGTTTTCCAAGATATTTCAAGTAGTCCTTTCACTAAACTCTTTTTGGTTATTTTTTAAATATGTTTCATATTAACATCCCAAGCTTTTTGTGCTAAATCCATTCTTCATCTTCTCTGAATACTATCCATTCTGTTTGCTCAAACTAGTCAAATTTATCATCTTGTTTGACTATGCATGTATCTTTGTCAAATACTACAATATACCCATTATCACAAAATTGACTTTTGTTAAGTAGGTTATACTTCATACCTTCAACATATAGAACATTATTTAAAATAGGTATACAGTTGTTACCAATCTTACCTATACCGTTGATTTGGTCTTTTCCACTTCCATAGGAGACTGGTCTTTCATGTGGTTGGATGTCTTGGAACATAAACTTTTCTCCTATCTTGTGCTGTGAGAAGCCATTATCTAGGTACTAATGTGAATCCTTTCTTCTTCCCATCAAGGATATCTATAATAGCAATTATTTGAGATTTTGGTATCTAGATTTTCTTGGGTCTTTTCCCGATAGTCCCCATGCCCTTGGTCTTACTCTTTCATTTGCCTAAAGTTTTATCCCCATTTCCACTAACTATACGAAAAAAGACCTTGGATTTGGTTTGAGATGCCCCTGAACAGGGTCAAAGCTGATGGAAACCAACTTCCCAAGAATTCTTTTGGATGAGATAAGTCCAAGAAGGGTGAAGGTTGATAAAGTTGGGTTGAATAATTGTAGGGTACTTACCCTTATTTTGTAAGATACCCTACCTTTGGAGGCCTATCTTATCTTAAAGGACTCTTATTGTTGATATACATTTTTCTTACATGTAATTCATTTTAGTAGTGATTATATTAGGATATTATTGGCCTTGTATTTTGGGTCAATTAGTGTAGGTAATTTTTTCCTTGTATTACTTGAGGGTGTAATTAGTAGATTAAGGGAGGTGTAACTAGCAAAGTCTTATTAGACTTTTTGGGCTTGGATGGCCAAAATCTTTTTATGGCCCATAGGTTTTGATGTCCAGATTCTCATGTAAGTGGTTTAGATGTCCAAATTAACCATGCCAAGCATGCCATCTAAGCTACAAATTAAGTCACATGGGTTTGCTAATGACATCACAACAAACTTCATTAGTCTAATAGTTGTAATGAGTAGAATAAGTAGTTGGAGTTAACTTAAGTTAACCTATGTTATTCTTAAACTAGGATTAGCTTAGCTTGCTCCATAAGCTTCTAGATAACTAACTAGACTTGTAGACATTTAACTAGAGTTAGTTAGCTTAAGTACAATATAGCTAACCATGGTTACACTTAACCTTGGTTAGTCTAGTTTGCACCATAAGCCAATTAAACTCTATATATTGTAGTTTTTTTTTTTCATTTTGAAGGAACTTTTGATGTATATTGATGTTTCTTGATGAACCCCCACCCCACTTGGACGGTCATCAGAACCTATAGCCGAGGCGGAACCACTTCCACTAACCCTCTTGGCCTGCTCAGATCCAGAAAAGGACTCGGTGCGATCTCCATTAGAGGCCGAAGCTGAGACAGCGTCCCGGACCGGAGATATTCTCCGTCTCGATTCCCCTTCGTCACCGGAGGAGTCGACATGAACAATATTTAAATTTGCCATTACGTACCTGAATGCTAAACTTCAGATCTTCCTTCGACGAACACTCGAATGCTGATTTACTAATTCGGATCCGGAGATAATGATTGTGCACGTATGTGGAGCCCCCTCCTCATGCCTATTTATAGACCCTGCATGTTACACATTCAAACGTCGCAGCCTTGGGAAACCGTTGGATCAATTTAATCCAACGATCCTCAATACGCAACCCCTCGTATGCTCCACCTAAGCCCAACTGACACAACCTTTGGCGTTCCACACTTAATGCGAACCCTAGCATGCGCCATTCCACGCACAATGATGGCAACCCTTGACATCCCATCAGCAGTTGTAACCCCTCACGCGTAATTAATGTCTGTCAGTTATGCACCAGAGAAATTAATGCTTGTCAGCTACGCATCAGAGAGGCACTTTAATCATAACCCCTCACATTCCTGAATCTTTCATCGTATCCCAATCGGAACAATTAACCCTTTGCGTCGCTTCCCTCCTCAAGGCTGGGGGGCTTGTGTACCGGAAGGTCCCTATCGGTCACGTTGACCAACACGTGCCGTTCTGTCAGACACCTACGCCATGATGTCGGAAACATCGGTCCAGCCAACGTCCGGGACGAATGTTACTAACGGCTCGGCATAAGACCGAGCCGGAGAGTCCCCCGTAGGGCAAGATAGTTAGACAACTGTTGATCAACCCAATTAATAATAGCGCCCCATTCCTTTACCTATCGGATCGGCGAAATACCGTACCGATAGGTGAAGGACGGCTATTAATTATGATTAGCAGGTAAGCGCATGGTTAAGTTAGTAAGTAAGTAATTAACATCGTATTACCTAATTTAGTAAACACCTGAAAAAGCCCACAATGCTCAAGCCCACGTCAGGCACTATAAATAGGTCACACATAACGAGGTATGTCACTGTTCATTTTTACCCTAGATATTCGTGCATACACTGACTTGAGCGTCGGAGTACCCTTTGCAGGTACCTCCCCCATCCCTTGGAGATATCGTTGGAGCTCTTATTCGGTCCCCTTTCACCCAGAAGAAAAGGAGTGTGCCCTTAGACAGGTACACAAATGTTTTTCCAGTCGACTTGTGGGAAGATTCTATTCAATAATGGTGTATTAGGCATTCATACCGACATGCTATGAAACAGTTTTTTTGTAGTTCTTCGGTCAATTTTTACTGGTTTTACCAACTTTCGATTTCTACAGCAATTGTTGTCAAGGTCAGTTTTGTAATTTAATTGGATTGGTCACTAAGAGTAGTTCACTGATTTTCTAGTCAAAGCAACTAGCTCGGTCTGGTATTGAACAACAAAAGTCATATCCTACAAAAGTGAAATTGGCTACATAGATCACACAATACCATTTGGCTCAGTTAAAGACAAAATCTTCAAATATATTATTCACTATGAGATCCTTCTTAACAACTCCAACTCTTATATTTTCCTGTCAGTACAACTAGACATAGTTGTATGATACAACTTCCCTTTTGAGTCTGGTAGGTGCATTTGTGATCACAAATAACTCTCCATTCAGTTTCCAAAACATAGATTACTAACCTAGAAGATCTGACATCCTTAGATTTCTATTTTGTCATAATAGGAGAAAGTATGTATAAGAATACATTATCCAAAACTAGTTGAAAATCATGGATACCAACAAAAATCATGCTAAGAAACTTGTTCATCCATATTGTCGGCTTAAGACGGCGGTTTACCAACCTGTGTTGTGTATAATCACTGGAAAGTAGAGACAAACCATTCCTTAACATGCATTTTCAAAATGTAGATTAATAATAAAAAAGAGAAACTGTTTTAAACCTTTCTCCAAATTGAACAGCTTGAAAATTCCTTATTCTAGTTTTACAAAAGACAATGCATAGGTTATGCAATATTTAAATATTTAATATTAAATAAATCACATTAGAAAAAATACCTGTTTGCGGGAAAATGCAGAACATCTAAGACCATATCTTCAACACTCTTCTGACCATTGATCTGTTGACCAGAGAACTACAAATAAAAAGTAGCAAACAGTGAGGATATTGAATAAATAATGAAGCAAACACAGAAAAATATGATTCCCAGTCTTACCTGATTTGATGGTGGAACAGCTTGAGTTTGATAACCTTTCGTGGGAGTGATTGGTGTGGAATTCATTACATTTTGCTGATTAGGGACACTAACCTGAAGATGTTACCTCATGAAAAAATAGAATACACACACGTATGGTACAGACTTGTTAAAATCCATAACCACATATATACATGTCAAACTAAAACATAAAATTTGCAATTTCTTAACTTATACCCGTATCTTGGTATTATAGAGATGTACGTATATGCACTCAATGAAATGGTTGGCTATCTCATTAAAGTCTGTCACTGGCCTGAAAACAACACGACGGGGCAAGGTATAATATTGAATCGTAAGCAAAATAATAGGTTTTCCCTGCCATTCAACTAATCACTATGCCAATAGGATACCAAGCTTTGGTAATAGTTGTGATAATGATACATATACAAGACAATTTAAAATATTGAACTGTTAAAATAAAAAGTGAAAGGTAAACTATATATCATACCTAAAAGAGAAAACATTTAAGGTCCTTTTACCCTGAAAACCTTTCAAATGTCCATGGAGCCTCGCATACATCCCGTCCCTAATAATGAAACTAGAATATTAGTACATACATCGATAAAAAAAAATTAAAAATACTAGCACATACTATGTGAAATAAATTGTCTGATAAAAAGAATAAAATACACAGGTGGCAACAACACCAACCTTGTAGAAAATGATCACTTATGTGTGTATAGTGTACCTTCCCTCAGGAAAAAAAATAAAATGATCATATTTCTGTATCTTTTCCTTTTATGGAAAAAATTCTATTTCAGCAGTAACATGTAATTCAAAACATTTTATTTCCTTTCTGAATTAAGTCAATTAACCAAGCAAAAACATATACTGTTGAGAAGAAAAATCTGATGAAGAAACAGGAAAATGTGATTAATGCCATTCTTCTCAATACTTGCAGATAAGAGTTTAATTGATTAAGAAATATAATATTAAGGTTCTCTTTGGACAAACTTCTCAGCAAACATTTATAGGAAAAGAAAATGAGGAATTATAAGCTAAAATTAACTTGTACAAAAGTTAAAATTGAGAGAGTTTGTATAAATTAGCTTATAAATAAATTTTTTAACTTAAAGAGTTACAAGATAAACTTAATTCTTCTCCCTTTTTATTTTCTTCTCTTACAAGTACTCATTCAGAAGCTTATCCAAACAGGACTCAAAATTTAAGCAGGAAATGCAATATAGTAGTACTAGTAACATACAAGATACCCTCTGCAACATTTGTATCAGCAGCTTCCTGAAGCCTGCACATAATCAAGAACTCGTCACTGCCAAAACTGAATGGAACAAAAGTGAAAAATTAAACCAGACTAACAATGTGGACAAGATAAGACAAATTCAACAACAATCACCATTTATTACACTCAATCCTCCCAGTACCATCGTCAAGCACAAAAGTAACATCAGTAATTCGTCCAACTTTGTTGCACACTTTTCCTACAAGAGTAACCTGAACTCAAATCGTTAGAACAGGAAAAAAAAACCACAAAACCCTAACCAAATTCGTAAACTAAGGTTTAAGGAGAACACACATTGTTAACGTCCACACCATCGACAATCAAATTGGTTTTATCGTCACTTGACTGAAACGCATCGTGGATCTGCTTCACTGTCAGAGGAAGCAAGGCCTGAGCATCGCGATTCTACAAAACAACAATAAATAAGTAAATAGAGGCTAAAACCACAAATTGATTCCATCTTATTTTCTCAAAACACTTGCAATTAGAAGAAGGTAAAAAACCCTAGAGGTTAATTAGTGTTACAGTGATGTGATTTTAGGTTGAATGTGGTTGCGATTAAGAAGAATAAGAAGAAGAAAAGAGTGAGAAGGAACCTTGGAGGGAAAGAAGGAAGGGTCGGCGCTCTGAGTAGTCTGAGAAGGCATGAATCCGCCGCCGGAGAAGGCGGCGTTGCCGTCGAACTGGCTTGAGTTTGAATACATGGTTGTTCTTCACCTGCAGAACTGAAATGGACTCACAAATTTGAAATTTCACGACGATTTGATAACAGCCTGCGTAACCGATACATATATCCTTTCCTTTTTTCCCCCTTTTACAATTAAAATAAAAATAACTGGTTTCCCGCCATTTTCTCTTTTTTTTTTCTTCCGCTTATCGTGTTTTTTTTTTCATGTAATGTAAATTTAATAAGGAATTCTTTTTTTTTTTTTACATATAATTGTATTTTATTTGTTTGCCTTTATTTGTCGATAATGAAGGTTTAATTGCATTTTATATATATTTGAACTTGTGCTTTAATTTTGTCTCTAAGTTTTTTTTTTATAAATTATATCTTCAAATTTTTATATTTTAATAATTTCTGTTCTTTAGTCGGTTACCTATCAAAATATTAAAAGAACACTAACGGTGATATCTATATTGTGAATAGAATTAATGATGTAATACGTTTGATGAAAATTTAATCACACTTTTGTTATTGAATTTTTGTATTTTTTTTTTGACAAATTTTGCTCTTAAGTAATTTTTCATCATGTCTCAAATTTTATATTTTGTGAATTTTATTCTCTCATCAATTGTTTATCAAAATATTAACAAAAAGTATACGAGTTTAAATATAAAGAATAAATGTTTTAGTAAAACTTTTATGGGTGATTTTTTCCTATACTTACAAGAAAGAGTTACATGTAATAAATTTTATTTATATGATATTATATAAAATAATTGTTTGATTTAATATAATTATGATATTTTTTATATACCCAGTATATATTCAATCTATACCATCTATATGTACATATTAAAATAAGGATGGTATTGTCGTCTTTGTCAACTTTTTTATTTTGGAGATTTCTTATAATAGAATGTTGTTGCAAGATTAACAATTTTTTTAGAACAATTTTAAAAAACTACTTTAGATTTAATAATATTAAGATAAGATTAAGATTAGGAGACTGATATATTTTAAAATAATTAATAAAAAATTATGTGTTTAATAGGCCTTATTAAGTTTTTCAAATGCTAATAAATTTGTTTTATAATTAATAAAAAAAAAATGTTTGAATCAGGTACAAAGGAGGGAGAAAGTCGCATGTAGATAGATTCCTTTTAAATGTGATTATGCTAATAACCATATGATGTTTATATTAAAATGATTATTTTTACGTCATTTATAAAATAATATTAAAAATATTTATAATTATTATCATTTTCAACAGAATTTTTTCAAAATTCAATTTTTTAGAATTAATTCGGATCATGTTAAAATTATTTTATTATTAAATCTTAATCAGTA